CAATTGTTGGTTTCCAGTCAAGTAACCAAACTGCAATTCATTGATTTAATTTAGTAAGTTGCATGATAGATAACATTATTGCGGAGATGCTAGTTTCAGAACAAGGTAATACTGAAGCACGTTTTCTATTTATGTGTTTACAGACATATATATTCACCATCAGCAGCACATTCACGCCCATCTGCCGCCCGAATATATTTTTCAACTAATTGGGTGCATGAGGAAGACAACTGATCTAATTTGAACTACACGCTAGCAAATTATAATATCTTAACCAAATTCAGCTTCAAAACATTAAAAATCACTAAGTTATCAGGCTCAGCATCACTTCCTGTGTTCTGGATTAGCACAACCATCGGGACAGGAAGTTCAATACATAGAAAATTCAAGCTTTGAGGAGCCCAGTACCTGTCTATTGACAGTATCAAGATAAGGACAATCCCTTCTTACTTCAATCGCACGACCTCGCCTGCCTTGTCCTCCTCTATTTCCTTCATCCTCATCGTCGTCATCATCTTCTTCATCGTCTTCGTCTTGCCGGCGGCGGTCCTTCCCATCATGCTCTGCTCTTCCGCCATTACTACCAGCTATACCGCCATTTCTGCCATTTTCCTCTTCCTCCTCGTCGTCGTCGTAGGAAGCGAGCGGCAGCAGAGGGTTTTCGAAGGGCGAGGATTGTTCGACCACCTTCTGGCGCTTGGCATCATCCTCTCCGTCCACTGCGTCCTCGGATTGTTCTCGTTTGTTCTTCATGGCTTCTAGGGTTTGCGATCTGATTCCTCCGGCGTAAACTGGACAAATTTTGCTGCGAGCTTGAATTTCTAACTCTTTCTGCAATTCATAGTTAACTAAACTGGCAGATTGTAGCATCTGGGCTCCTAAAACAATTTAAAAAGAGGCCCGCTATGAAATATTGGGCTACATGGGCCCAAAAGGATATGATATCTAGCCGATATTTGTGAAATTGAGCTTTTGACAATTCTTATGACGGATAGGCAACCAGCAACCTGCCCCTACCAGACCACCAGTGCATCTTTTGGAAAAAAAATTGTCTTACATAGCAATAGAAAAGAAATAGAGGAATGAATATACAAGAAATAGAGGAATCAATATAATAATTATCATATTTAAGTTATTGGATTAATATAATATAAATGACAAATATTATAATTACATAATATTGTACAATAGGGGTGTACATAACTCTCACATTGAGTGGGACCGACCAAAAATAAAAAATCAAGTGGACCCACTCAATGTGCGTGTTATGTACACTTCTATGTACATTTATTATGTACTTGTAGCACTTTTATAGATAAATAATGTCTTTTATGTACATTTATTATGTAGAGTCACAATTAATTCTATTTGTATGGTGGAGTTGCAATTAATTGCAAATCACGTAGGACTATCGAAACAAATCCGAACCGACCGAACTTTCGGTTTGTCTATTATCATAACCGAAAACCGAACCGAAATTTACGGTTCGGTTCGATTTTTAATCGAAAATCCACTGGTCGGTTCGGTTCGATTTTTGGTTAATCGCAATAAATAATTAACCATCTCCATAAATTTTGAATTTTTAACCGAACAAAAATTTGGTGTTTTATCCAAATCAAAAAAATTTAATTTTTTTATCACCTTATTTAATCTTCTCAATAAATTATAATTTATGTTCAAATGAAGATCTCGGACCTGATCAATAACTTGAGTCAATCTTGAGTGCAAAATAATGCTTGAGTCATTATAGGGGTCATTTGAATCTTGAAAATCATCAATCATTGAAGCAAATTAATTCTTTTATAACTTATATGTATAAGTAAAAAACATGTTTTCGGCTCGGCTCGGTTAACCGATCACAATTACCCAAACCGAACTGAAAACTGAAATGTTAAGAAAATGTAAACCGAAAACTGAACCAAATATTCGGTTTCAGATTCGGTCTAAACTGAATTTTCGGTTTTGGTCTGTTTGGCTCGGTTAACCGAACTTTGTGCACCCCTATATAGGACACCTGAAAATTGCTCTATTTCAAAACTTGCAACATACACGCATTTTTAATTGCTTTATTAATTTTATTATTTTATTTCAACTTTTGTAATTTTAATTTTTAATTGGGTTCATTTTTTTTTTTAATTGTGTGGTAAAATATTAATTTTTCAAAATCATTACAACTTTAATTATGATATTATTAATTAATTTGTCACAACTAAAATAATAACAAAATCAATTGTAGATTAATACGTACCACCAAGTCGATTCGACTCGAGAAGCGGTCCAACCAAACCAGGGAAACCGACAGGTCGATTAGAAATCGAAAACATGAGAGGTAGTCAGAGCACCAGGTCGATGGTGACTTCACAGTTAAGGAGGCTCGCCAGGAGGTTGAGCTAAAGCAATGGCCTGATAAAAACTCAATCTGGAGGTATACAGGTCGATGGATCAAACTGATTATGGGACAGGGTACACGAGCACGACGAAGAGACAATCTAGCTCAAAGAAAGTCGAGTTAGTCGCATAATTAGATCGTCTAATACGTCAGACTAATGGACAATAACGAATAAAATTAAGATAAAAACCACATGTGGATTAGACCACGTAGCTTAGCAGAATCCGACAGTTCGGGAACTTGGTACGAACGGCAGTTCGGGCAATCGGCCAGTCCATCCGAGCATTCTAGGGCAACAAGGAACACCCTTATATAAAGGGGTGATATATGTCCATTTACACTCTACATACTCTAATATACTTACAAGCTTAGTCTCTTAGATATCTACTTTTCATCATCTTCTCATCCACATACTAACTTGATTGTTGAAGTGCTAACGTAAGAAAAATCTCTTGACCCATTTTGCAGGTCTAACCAGATGTGAGCAGATTCAAGGTCGTCCAACCGATTGAGGTTGTTGAACACGATATAATAATAATAAGAAAAAAGACTACTGCATTAAAACTTTTATATTTTGATACAAAATAAAATATAATTATTCAAACCACGTCATGGAACTAGAAATAAATAAAAAAAAAAAGTCTTAGTATATGGAAGTAAACGTTATAGAACTTGAAATAAATATTGTGAAACACTTTATTCCTACATTATTTTATGTGCATTATTAAAACCACGCATGCAATACACAATTACTCTACTAGTGTTATGTTATATGAAAGATGAAAACTTCTGCAGGTGAATACGAATATTCCAACTTCATGTTTAGTTTATTATCACATATATGTTATTTATTTACCAAAAGGACTTCTTAATACGATGGTTAATTTGTTTAGAATAATCCTTTCAAGCATGCTTGTAAATTTTAATTACCAATGAGAAACCCACCCCCAAGTCAATATTAAGCATCCGTTTATCTACACGAAGCTGATGAAAACTGCAATATGCCCATTTGTCAAACTGCATTTTTCAACTTACCATATACTTTAAAGAAATATTTTCATACTTGATGGAAAATTGTGTATTTGTGAAATTTAAAAAATCGATCAAGTAATGACAATTTTATTACAAAAGTGAAAGATGGCCAGTTTTAAGTCAACAACTCGTTTCTACCGTTAGGATAAGAGGAAAAAAAATTGATAGCTAGAGACATACATACAAGGTGAGAATTTTAGTATTCTAGCTCTTAAAAAGTCAACTATGTATAATAATAGTTCAACAAACAAGTACATGAAGGAATTTTGATAAACAAAACAACCTAGGCATGGATGATGGCTAATTGGCTATGTATCTAATAGATATGTACATAAATATTCAATTTTTTTTTCTCAAATGTTACTTTGAAAAAATAATATAAATATAAATATGAATTTCATAATGTAAATATATATATACATTTGTTTCGAAAAGTAAGATGGATCGATTTACTTGTAAGATCGCAAATAAGTTATAGTTCAATCGATAGCAACTCGTTTGCATAATTGCATTGAGAATAAATTATATAGTTCAACCGGTAGCAACTCGTTTACAAATTAGTATTACCAAATACCAAAAAATGACTTAATGCATGTTTCCAATCCCATACAATTTTAACGTAACCTAGCAATTCTCATTGCAAATGAACATATAATTATAGTAAGAGCACCAAGAGTAAACATGAGAGAAGAAAGTAAACTGTGAAACAGTTTCAGGTGAAGCACAAGTTTGTTGCATGACAATCTACTGCTAAAAAAATTATAAAAACCAAAATAATCCCGACTAAGCAAGTACATTAATTTGTCCTTTTTTTTTCTCCAAGGTCCTATAATCTCACCACATTAAAACA